AAAAAGTTTCCGCTTGGGCTTCAGGCGCGAGAGTGGCGTCTTCTGGTGCCACCATGGCGTGCCGCGCCTTCGCCCGAAGAGTTCGTGATGTAAAGGCCTTTGACTTAGGGTTGGGGGCTTTGGGTTTATTTGAGGGGCTTTAGAGGGGTTTACGGTTTGGGGCTTTAGGGGGGTTTAGGGCTTACGCCTTTGGGTTCATTAGGGGCTTTAGGGGGCTATAGCGGGCGGGGCGAGGGGGTTACGGGGGGTAGGACACAAGGGCCCAACGGTTATTGACACAAGCGGTTGGGTGGAAACCTCCATAAGTTCACGGTTTTGGGGCCTTTCATTCCTCGAGCTCACTGAGACCAGAAGCTAGCAACTCCCACGCGCCTGAGGCACGGCTGGCTCCTCCCGCAGTGCCTAGGGCCCAGTGGCACCGTGTTTTTGTTGTCGTTTTGGGGTTCTGTGGTGCCTTTATTTAAAACACCCCAAAATTTCCAAAGCTGCACACAGACCCTAGAACCCTTAAGACTAAGGTGGCGGTCGGTATCTTGTTAAATGGGTATGTTGTGTGGTTTTTTTCAGCATACCAGGGTGGTATGAGTTATGAATTATTTCAAGGGGCTGCGCCCATGGGCGGGCCGGGGGCCCCTATTTCCTTTTTGCCCTTTTGGTTTGCCTCTTTTCTTGGTGGGAGGGCGGGGGTGGGGGGTACTCTACGGTTCCATAGGAAAACCTCTCTTTTGTCGGAAAGCTTGTATTTCTCTGGATTGTACTAGGGAAACCTCTATTTCCTCTATATTTTAGTTTTGGCAGGACAACCTCCATATTCGCTATGTGTTTTCACAGAAGAACTTCTACTTTTTCTTGATTTTCATGGGAAATTGAAGGGAAGAAGGAAGGGACAGAGGGAAAGAAAGAAATGAACAAACAAAAGAAGGAAAGAAAGAAAGAAAGACAGAAAAGCTTGCTTCAAGGCATATGAACCTTTTCGAAATTCATCCTGCGAGAATTTGTGTTTGTAAATAGAATTGCGACGTGCGGCGCTGGCCCCCTTCAAAGCATATGAGTCTTTGAAACCCATCATGCGGGCATTGTGTTTGCCAAATGGGGAGACATTGCTGGGACACCCTTGGAGGTGCAGATAACGGGCCAAAAACTGGCTGCCCCGCCCCCAGCGCCCCCACTTTGTTAAACCGCGCAAACTTGAAACCCATCATGCGGGCATCATGTTTGCATCCCCCCCCCCCAAACCCCCGCTTCTGAAAATACAGAGAAATGCAGGTTTCCTTATGAAATAAAGACAAGTCGAGATGTTCCTACAAAGAGATCAGAGGCTTGTTTTGCCTAATGAAGTCGCGAGAAGATAGAGGTCTTCCTACTAACAATATGGAGAGAATAGAGGTTTCCCATTCAATTTTAACAATATATAGAGTCATAGCGGGTTTCCGTTTACAACCTAGAGGAAAACGAGCGTTTCCTATGAAAATGTTGAGCTTTAGAGCGATCGAAGATTTTGAAAGCCATAATGCGAGCATTGTGTTTGCGTAGGAAAGTATATTAAAGTTTAGTTTGCCTATGAAATATTGCGGAAAAAGTTTTCCTATGACAATATAGAGTTCTTCCTATGAAAACATAGAGATATTGCGGGTTCGTTCGCCCCAAAGACCCGAAGACCCTAAAGACCCTAAGGACCCTAAGGATCTGAAGGACCCTAAGGACGAATCGCCGACGTCTCGTTTTTGCGATGTGCGTTCGCCACCCGCGACTTCTCGCTGCCCGCCAAGTCGCACAAAAAGAGACGGCCCATGGTTCGAGTTCGCTTTTCTGACCGCCCGCCCTGGTCCTTGTCGTTGCCACGAGTGACGCGCTCCACCAAACGAAAACAATCACCAAAACCAATCAGCAAATCAAACAACCGAACCTTGAAATACAGTCAAATCACGCAAAACACCGGCACAGACATCGTGGGGATATTCAATGTGGGGGCCTGGGGACACCACACAGCGGTGGACCTGCGTTTTCGGCCGTCTATGACGGCCCTCCGCATGTCGCAACTCGTGCGCCGCCATTTTGAGGGCTTTGACCCACTTTGACGGCAGCCCGGTGAAGGTCTGGGTCCCGCTGCCCCAGGGGGAGATGTCGCGCAAGCGTGAGCGACAGGGCGGCGGGGAGGCCAAGGGTAAGGGCCGCGGTGGGCGGAAGGAACCTGGGCGGGAGAGGGACCGCCGCGAGCGTCGCAGGTCGCCAAACCAAGAGAGGCGTTAAATCTTCCTTTCTCCGCCATTTTAAACACTGGTGTCGTTGCGTAAGCGGCTAAAACTGCCAGACTCACATTCCATGTCATGTCCTTCTTTTCTTTCTTTTTTTTTCTCGTCGGTCGCCTTTCTCCGCCATTTTAAACGCTGGCGTCGTTGCGGAAGCGGCAAAAACTGCCAGACTCACATTCCATGTCATGTCCTTCTTTTCTTTCTTTTTTTCTCCTTCTTTTTTCTTCCTTCTCGCGTGACTGGTCACGAGCGGAAGGCATGTTAGGCTTTGCCCTGTTTCGTTTACCCGTTCGTGTTTTTTGTTCATCTCTCTCCCTCTCTCTCTCTCTCTCTCTCTCTCTCTCTCTCTCTCTCTCTCTCTCTCTCTCTCTCTCTCTCTCTCTCTCTCTCTCTCTCTCTCTCTCTCTTTCCCCCCCCTCTCCTTTCCGTCTCCCCTCTCCTCCCCCTTGCTCTCCTCCTGGCGGTTGATGCCTGGTGCTTCCTGTTCCTGCAATGCCTGTTTGCTGATAAAAGGCGGTGGTGGTTCTGTGGTGGTGTTGCTAAAAGATGACAGGAGCCCAACGGGTGGTCCATACAGGCCGTACCGACCCGACATCGATGACTCCGGACCGGACCTTGTCGCTGCCTTAAGGGTTGCTGCGCCTTGGTGGTCCGGGGGCAACCCCTTAGTCAGTTCAGATTATGAGGTTGGTGTTCAGTCAGGGGGCAGGGCCACACTCTCTGTGGAGAGTGCACATACTGATATTTACACTTGTATTAGTTCGCAGCATTTGCGGCAGCCGGACACACTGACGCTGTGGCTGTTCTTGCCCGAACCCGTCAGGAGGCCTTCACTGCCCACCCTTGCCTCTCCTCACGATGCTGCTCGACTTGAAGCATTGAAAGCGGCCCGTCTCGCCAGTCGCGCTGCCGAAGGATGCGTTGAGGGTTTGTGTTTCCGGGGGTGGTTTCATTCGCACACAGCCTGGAGCGTGAGCATGAGATGCTGGCAGAAACTCACGCACGCCATCTGTTGACCCACGGGCGAGGTTTGGCTGAAAGAGCTCTGCGCGGCACTGGGGGTCGCATACCCCTGACGGACCACCAACCGTCGAGGGGCGAGACCCTGTTCTCGGTGAAGGCCCGGGACGTGCATGACGCATTATGGGCCTTGAGTGACGAGCAGTGGTCGCTGGTGCTCATCGAGGCCGAGTGGAATCGAGACGGGTGTCGCAAACTAAAGATGTTTACGTTGGTGTACAGGTTGGGGTACGCCGGGGACCGGATCGAAAGGCATGTGTCGATGACCTGAAACAAGGCTTTGACAGAAGCCAATCGGGCCAACAGCGGCAACCAGGTGCTGTGTTGGAGGGCCAAGATGCGAGGTGAGAAAAGAAAACAGGCCGCGGATCAACAAGATCAGGCTGACGGGGCTGAAGTGAAAAAGGGAAGGATAAGGGAAAGGGAAAGGGCGGTAAAGGGAAGAGCAAGGCCCCGGCACGTCGTGGCCACTCTGGGCTGCCAAACAGCCCTCAACAATGGGCAATGTGGGAAGACGGCCTGATGATCGAGTCGGGACAGCTGGCGGCCACCGCGCAGGACGGCGCGATAGCAGTTATGCAAATCCAAGCGCGGTCAGTGGCAGTCGATGCGGAAGGAGTTGCGATGATCACAGCGAAAGCCCTTGGAAGTGATTGCCCGACTAAGGCCCTCGCAGTAGTGTTGCCAGGATGCAAGCTTAACCGTAACCTTGGCAAGAAATCGCTTCTTGCTCTCAGGAGAGTCACTTCGAAAACGGTCGCTGTCACGGGAAGCTGGCGCAAGGAAAGTCGTTGCGCCACCAAAACAAATCAAACGCGCTGAGGTCGGTGCATTCTGGCAACATGTTCAAGATCAAGTGATGAATGCTAGCTCTCGCATTCTTGCGCAATTCAGCTTTGAAGTCCTGGGTCACAATCCGGGAGCCGATGGCAATCTCTGAGGCTTCTGTAGGTACAAACAGTTTGGATGTGATCACTGGATGAGAGGAGGCCAATCACACTGGACGGTTGCCTCCGACGCTCAACCGCTATCGAACTCTCTTCATTTGCCCGCGCGCTGGACGGTGAACCTCTTCAGCAGGTCAAGGGTGCTAGCGTACAATCGGTGGAGGCTGCCTTCTAATTACCGAGAGCCAAGAGATGATGTAGCGGCCCCGTGGGTGGTTACAGTCCTGCGCAAGCCGTCGGAGGGTCTACGAGGCGGTTCGCAACATCACAAAGAAGCGCGAATGGAGAGTGCCCACCATTGGGCTTGCGGGATGGCAAGTCCTTCGGGGTGTTTGCTGTCGGACGCACCGGGGCTTATGTCTGACTGCCGCAAGTTTGGGGAAGCGTTGTCAGCGCAGAGTATTGGGGATTGGAGTCGGACTGTCCGCTTCTTGCTCCTTTCACTTGCCGCGTGGAGGAGGTCATGCAACGCCAAAAAAACCTAAGCCCTAAAAGTTGAAGAATCACGAGCTTCCTTCCTCTATTGTAAAGCATGTATAGTCATGTTGTGCAGACTAGGATGACTTACCTTCTGACCATTTTTGGCTCAAGTAAAAAAAGGCCGCATGAGGTGCGGCTTGCACGCAGGGTTGAGGGCTTTGAGGGTCCCTGAACCCTTCTTTTGGTTGTGCCTGGTCCTTCCCCTTTTAGGCTTAGGCCAGGTTCTAACCTGTTCAACTGGTTATCAGCTCCGTATCGCTCTGTTTGTTCTGTAGATTTCAGGGTCTAGGATTGAGGACCCATGGACTGCAACCCTCCTCGTGAGGAAGAGCGCATTCCAAGGCCTCTCGGTGTGAGAGGCACTCGAGGGGGCGCCGCAGCCCAGAGGAAGCGGAAAGCATATCAAATATATATCTTTCTGCGCGATCAGGACTTGGGCATCTTCGCTGATCCATCCGAAGTTCCCTTCCGTCGCCCTGACGGATCTACAAGATCCGTAGTGCGCCGTCCGAGGACGGCTCCCTTTCAGGCTGTGGAAGAGCAGTCAGAAGTGATCGTTATTGACGATCAGGCCCCGGAGACTCCGCCGCCTTCTACGCCAGTTCGTCCGTTTCATCGACTTCATCCTTCAACTGTTGTTCTGAAGGCGAAGACCACGGCTCCATCACCTCCACCCGCTTCTTCGTCATCAAGCTCTTCAACTCAGAGGCCTTTGCCGGCTCCAAAGCCTTTGTTAACTCCATCGGCTTCATTGTCATCAGACATTCCGGCTCCGAAGACTCCACCGAAAGCTCCGCCTCGAAGTTTGTCATCAGGCATTCCGGTTCCAAAGACTCCACCGAAGGCTCCGCCTCGTGTGCCGGAACCTTCGCATCCTCCATCGGCTCAGGTGCTGCATCGTGTGCCGGAACCTTCGCATCCTCCGCCACCTCAGGTGACAGGAAATCCTCGTGTGATTGACTTCCGTCCCCTGAAGACAGAGGTGCTGGACTTTGAGGGTGTTAAGGTGAAGCTTACGGAACCTGCTTTCGAGAGATTCTCCTTTGGTTTGAGCTTGGATTTTCACGGAGTGTTGGATCGATATCACAAGAAGTCAACAAGCTGGACGGATCCTAGGCCCGAGTTTCCTTCAGAGTGTGTGGCAGCCTTGCGCGATCTTCATTCGTTGATTCCGCGCTACGGGGGCTTATTCTTCGTCTGCAGTTACTGTCATCACGAGGACACTAAAAGGCACGTGGTTGAGACGACAGTGAATTCCTGTGATACGCTTTTCACGCAGATCGGGGAATCGCCTATTTGCCTCATTTTCATTACGAGGAAGGCCACTGGTCCGTTGGGGAAGCGTGCAGTGCTGGAACATCTGGCAAAGGAGGTTGAGCTCCCCATCATTCACGTCGACGACTCTGCAGATGTCTGTGACGAGTTGGCGGGCTCTGAGCACGTGATTCCTCTGCATATTGCCATTCCGAAGAGATCCAAGGGGAGTCGTGGACAGCGCACTATTTTTCCGCGTGCTCCCGTGCCTTCCTTTGACAGCTTTCCGGAGTGTACTGACGCTATCAAAGGTCAGGTGCGGAAGTGGTTTCCGGACGCCTAAAGGTCTGGGGCTGTTCGTCCAGTTGTCCGGCGCTGAGCGCCTCCTCTGGCGACATTGAGGGGATTGCAGATCCAACCGTGAGCCTCGCCTCTTCTGCCAAAAGAAAGGGTGCGTTGAGCTGCTGCTAAGCGCTTCCACCTCCCAAGGCAATGTCTTCCCCCTCAGACCCTAGCAACCAAGCTAGTTCGGTACTTGATCTATCGAGTGCCTCAGCCATGGCATTGCCGGGTGGTATCGGTTCAGATAGTGGTTCGGTTACGAGTAGTTCTGCAGTTGAGCTCCGTGAAAGGTCCCCTCCTCTGACTAGACGGGCTTTGTCGGGACCTCGCAGAACTCGTGAGCACTCAGAACCTTACCCGAATCTAACCGCTCAAGCCTCATACACGCAGAACATCCTGAACGTAGGAGCGTCCCCACAAGAAGTCCTGGATGCCCAACGTTTGGCTGCAGCCCAAGCAGCGCAGCAAGTGGCTGATCATGCTGAGCAGCTACATGCTGTAAGGCTAGAGCAGGTAGAGAATGAGGCTAGAGGTTTGGTTGAAGCCACCGCTGAGCAAATGCGTGAGCAGTTGCAACAATACGAACATCGTTATGATGAGATCCTTCAACAGGGTCGAATCTTGGAAGAACAGCTATCCGTAGCTAAGGCTGAGCTAAGCAAAGTCGAAGCTGAACTTCAGGTTGCTCGTGCAGGGTACCAAGAGCTTGAAGCCGCCCTAACCAGCTGCCGGGGTGATAACAACTTGCTGAACTTCCAAAACACCCAGCTACGTGTTGAGTTGCAAGTCAAAGACCGTGAGATTCAGAGACTTCGTCAGGCTGCTTTAAGCGCCACGAGTCCTGGGTCTTCACCTCCAAAGCCTGCACCTCGCCAGCAAGATGTGCCATCTGCAATTGCACCAAGTGCCTGTTCTGGTGGTTCTAGTTGGGTACATATCGGTTCGGATGGGGGCAATAATGGTGCACCTTCATTGCCGCAAGTTGTCAATGAGTCAACCCCTTGCCCTCCTGCAACCGTTTCCGACCCTCGTGTTGATCAGTTGATTGATGTCGTCCAGCAACTGCTTGCCCAAAGAAATGGCACGGATCAAGGATGCAATGATGCATCTCCTGTTCATGAGATCGAAGAGCCTGAGAGGCAAGAGAAGCACATTGTTGACAACCGAGCTTTGTTGCATCTCAAGCTTGAACCTGTTCCTTCCGACGCTGCTGGTTTCCGAGCCTGGAAAAACGCGTTGTTGGTCCAAATTGCCAAGCTTGATATGTCAGGAGAAGGTTTGGTCGTTGAATGGCTGTCTCAGTCTTTCACAGCTGAAAAAGAAGACCTTACTGAGTCTGGTTTTCTCCCTCGCCTTGACGCTTGGATTGCTGGAGAGATGACTTCCTTGCGTGTGTTGAAGCAAGTGACTGAGTTGGAGCAAGAGGTAATTGCCTATGTTGAGTTGTGCGGCCAAGCACGGTCCCAGCCGAAAGGTTGATACATGCTTGCCCTTCTTGCTCGTCATTTCAGCATCGACCGTGTTCGAGGTACTGTGCTGACTGCTTCGACGTTGTTCCAGGTTGAAATCGGGGGAAACTCCATGCGAGATCTCCGAGACTTTGTGCAACGCGTAAGGACTGTTCTGTATGCCATACCGGTCGGACAGAGGCCAGATGATCGCCTCACTGGTGAATGGCTTTTCCACCGGGTGAAGCATATTCGAAAGTTGGAATGCATCATCGAGGATATCAGAGAATCTGCGCCAGAATCCCGTCGTCGTGAGTGGGATTACTTATGGAACAAAATACAAGATATCCTTGTTCAAGAGCGAGAAGATGCAAACTCTCACTCAGTGATGAAGTCTTTGCAAATTGCCGCTCCGCAGGCAAAGACAAAGGGAGTTCCTGCAGAGACTAAGGAGGCGTCCCGGAGTTCCCCAAAGGCCAAGACTCCTGCCCCAGTGTCCACTGGACCTCCACCGAAGGCTCCAGTACCTGCAAATCCCGCACCAAGCCCCAAACCTAAGACAAAAGCTAAAGCGAAGGCAAAAGGCATGTCAGATGCAGAAAAAGCCAAGACACCTTGCATTTTCTTCAGAATGTCGTCTGGTTGCATGCATGGAGAGAATTGCAAGTACAGCCACGCACCTGATAAGACCCCTAAGGTTGACCCTAAGTCTAAGCCTAAGGCCGCCGCTTCCAAGCCCAAGTCCCCAGGAGCTGTTGCAAAAGCAGTCGTAGCAATGATGGCTGCCTCAAGCATGTGCAACATTCCTGGGAGCAACGCTTTCAGCGTTGAATGGGCTGCCGACACAGCTGCTGGTCGGCATCTTGGATCGGCGCGAGCGCTGGCAGACCAGGGAATTCCGTCGGAGTCGTACAGGTCCTTTCTTGCGCACTCAGCGAGCCCTGTTACGTTCCACACAGGTGGTGGACCTCAGCCTGGCTCTCAGAGTTTGGGATTTGCGTCCGACAATATGCCTCTCGCCAACCACTACATGTTGGACAACTGTCCAGTTGTTCGGAGCACCGGTTTGGATGTTGAATCCGGGAAGGCCTTCATATGGTTACCTGGTTCCCTTCCTTTCTTCGTGCATGACTTGTCTAAGCTTTGGATTGATTGCGCTGAGGAGGCCAGGTTTTATGCAACGCGCATAGATGAGCATGTGCCTATTTTCACCAGCAAAGTTCAGTTTGTCCACGGCGTGGCTGCGTCAGCTGATTCTCTTGAAAGGTCTGGTAAGGAAAGCCGAGAGCCTTCGACCCCCTTTGCCCATGATCCAGCTGAAGAGTATGCCAAAGACCTCCTAACAAAGCGTGGTGATATTCAGCCCAATCAAGTTCGTAAGATCTTTGGACTTGTGAAGCGTGGTTCAGCACCCCGAGGGATTGAGCCGAGCAACGACTCGTCCTTTGCAGTTGGCTGCTTCCGTCGAGGTGGCGTCGTCGGTCTTTTGAAGTCTACGAAGGAGTACCCTTTCGTGACTCGTGCATTGAACCAATTTGCGCAGCGTAAAGCCCCTGGACATGTTTACACCACCATCAATTTGCTGCACAATGTGTCCGCAGATCCTCACAAGGATTCCCGTAATGCTGGGATCGACAATGTTGTCATTTCGTTGGGGGGCTTTACCGGTGGTGGTGTTTGGGTTGAAGATGCTGCAGGAAGAGACAAATGTCCTTTTCCAAGCGTTTCGCAAATTGGCAAGATTTTGAGTTTCAAGAAGGGGGTTATCCAGTTCTCTGCCAAAAATCGACTACATGCCACGCAACCTTGGACTGGTGATCGGCTGGTGATGATCTTGTACGCAGCAAAAGATCCAGCTTCTCTTGAGCTTGATGTCTTAGATGCTCTCATAGGAGTTGGATTTCCTGTGGACAGTCACCCGCTGGTTGATGTCATTCCAGCAGAGATTGAGTCGTCCGAAGTGCCTTCCTCTTCGTCAGGGGGGCTGCCCAAAGAACATCTTGTCGAGGCAAACCCTGATGGTCCAGCTGCATCTGCGCTTCCTGAAGGGGACAAGCCTTTAGATGTGAGTTCGCCGGGAGTTCCCATTGTGGACGATGCCCATGTCAGCGATCGAGTTCGCAAATTGAGAGATGAAGCTGTGAGCGTGAAGCATCGCTTATTCCATTTCCCAAAGAACCCGTTCTGCGATGTGTGCAATCGATCCAAACTCTTATCCCGCAGGGTGCGCCGCAAGCCTCGTGATGAGGATTCTGAGCCCGCGATGCTTGAAGCTTCTGAGTTTGGAGAGGTTATTGCAGCTGATCACATCCATGTGTTCAAGTCACCTAGTGACTCCAATGCTCCCGGAAGAGAGTATGTGGTGTTGTGCCTTCGAGATCGCTTCACAGGATTGTTTGCTGCTTACCCTGCCACAGATCGTTCAACTGATTCCATCTTGACATGCCTCAAGCGTTTTGTTGGGAGGAAAGTGTGCAGCAAACCGGTATCGCTGGTTTCTGATGCAGCAGACGAATTCAAGCTTGCTGCAGAAACCTTGGGCTGGTTACACATGCCTTCATTGCCGAACCGGTTTCCTCACAATTCTCAACTTGAGCGTGAAATTCGGTCTTTCCAAGAAGGGGTCAGGTCATCTTTTCTTGAAGCAGGGTTTGCTGTCAGACCTGAGTTGTGGACAGTGGCTTGCCGCTACGGGTCAATGGCGATGAACCTTTCGCATCCTGCTCCTCTCGAATCTGATCTCTCACGATGGGACTTTGCAGTTGCGCACTTCGATGCCGAAGACGTCCCGCCTCGGGAATTAATCTTAGGCCAACTTGTTTTCTATCGGGCACGAGCAGATAGCAAGTTTGGTCCTAATGCCAAGCCAGGGTTGTTTGCCGGATGGAGATTGGAGCCTGGGTTCTTGTATAGGTCGGTTGTATACGTGCTGGATTTAGCCAAAGTTCGATTCAAACTTGGTTCTTGGGAAGAGGTAATATCTGTTCCTGAAGCAGAACTGTATGTGCGCTCTGGCGATCCAGTGTTTCCCCTCAAAAACGCAGCCGAACACACGCTGCAACTTTGTGGAGGAGAAGACTTCGTAATACCAGATCCTCTTCCTCTGCCTTTCTCAGGCGACCAAGCCAACATCAAGAAAAAGGCCCGAAGGATCTACATCACCTATTCAAGATTTCTGAAGCTTGGCCCTACTCCAGGTTGTACTGCCTGTGAAAGAGACCGTTCCGACCACAATCCTGAATGTGTTGCTCGTTTTGAAAAAGCGTTCGGGGACGAGGCCAAAACTTCGTCTCAACCTTTTGAGGATCACGAGAGGCTCTTGTCTTTCGAGCATCTTGGTTTGCCTGATCTTCCGCCTGAGATCGACCCAGCCGATGAAGAAGCAGTTGAAGTGGAACTTGCTGCTTTGGGTAGGTCTACAGAAAGAGATGCTGAATCAGAGCTAGACTTCCTCAGGACGCCGGAATACGAACCTTCCATTCCCGAAGATGATGAAGCACTCCCCGGTGTTGGAGCTTTGCCTGCCTGTCGGCATCAGAAGCCTGGTGCATTG